ACAGTTATACTGAAAAATAACCCGCCCAAAAATGGTTGATTTATGCATATTCAGGCGGAGCCTACCGGCTGTAAATGAATCAGCTATTGAAGACACCACATCATCCTAACAAACAACATCAATCTCACCTTGAAGAAGACTCGTCAGCCACGAACAGTAGAAATGTCCCCAGTAGTCTATTAACAGACATTTGATTACAGACCCATTGGTAAGCTTCATCGTAACAGGGTTTACACTTCGTGCTGACTATTACAACCGATTGACTGAAATCAGGTGGATCATGGTGAATTGCAACCGTAAGAGACGTTGGCATTGGACAGCATAGTCGTACATAAGGGCTATTCTCGTATGGCCACATAAGATTATCATACCGTCCCTGTTGTTCACAAATCAACCACTTGCTGTCCGTTTTTCAGCTGAATACACCAAAGCAACATGGAATAAATTCGTTGCTAAAGGGACCGAACGGGTAAGGAAACGTTAGGGGTTCAAACTTGGAACTTGTGAAATAAAGTTCGAAGTCGACTGCTTACCATTTGCCATCAACACGAGCACTGGAGTTTCTAGTGAGAAACCGTCTGAGAGTATCTTCTGAGCCAGAATTAGCAAAACATAAAAAAGATGATCTATCTTCTAGCAAGAAAAAGATCGGATCGCGGATGCACACATATCAGATAATGTTGCCAACACTCCTGATACTGTGCCAGAATTTCGACTCAGCAGAAGATAGTCCTATTTAGGAACAGAGACTTTGAAACAAGTGCATTTATTTCAATTCTGGCTGCCCCATGGTCTACGCTGGTCGCCGTTTCACCTTTTTGGAAGCACTCACAAGACATGTCCAAACCGTCTTAGCTGTACGCCAAGCTTTCTTGGACATCAGAACTCCGGACCATGTCGGAGCACATGGGCCAAACGATTCGTCTCAGAAATGCTATTTTTAAGCCGACTGTACACGGGATTGATGTCTTCCACCTATGGCCCACGATTCTCTGCCTCTTTTCTCCGCATCAGAGTTGCATGCGGAGTTCCACTTTGAAACATAGAATGCTTTGAATCCCACATGAAATGCTTATGCGCTGGAATAAATGGCTTATACACAAGCAGTTAGTCTAACAACACCAACTGTCTTTTCTTAAATATCCACCTGTGTACAGAAGAGAATGGGTTCATTCCTTACGTGGCCCTAACATTTAACTTCGTTATATGTCCGTCAGCGATGAGTGGGCTGCGTCTAACTGTCGTCCTCGATTCTTCGCAAAAACGACTGTCTTCATGCATACAAAGATAGTGAGCCGACAAAGTCACAATATAGGCAAATTTTCGAGAAAAGCTTCTTTTTCGATCTAACTACTGAAAAGACGGCTGTGCACAAACGCGGTTTTGCTAATTAGCCTGAAATCGCTGGTACAGTCGTACAAGTAATAAACCACAGTACTTTATCGATACTAGCACCCCGAGTGCTTCACATCCAAGCTGCTCTTGAAAAGCTGGCAAAATTGCTCACTTGTTATAATAAATCACTCTGACAAAATCTTAGCCTGCTAATCTTATTTTACGAGATACGAGAAAGATTCTTACTGCCTGAACCATTTTATAAGACTATATCTCTTTTTGCGTTTCATTCTTAGAAAGTTACTCAACCAGATCTGGTGTCTGACTTGCAACTTAAGATACACTGGCCCAACATTACGGCCATGGCAAACTAGTCTTGCTTATCGAAAGCAAGCAGTTGCGAGATAACAAACACAGGGAAACTTGAAAATGATTTCTGAGCAGGTCCATCGTCATATTAATACTGAACACCACATCGTTTTCACAGGAACAAGACCCACTGCGATATAGAGTTCTGTTGAAAGCATTCCACATTCAAACCAAGGAAAAGGTAATGAATCGGGATTATGGGCCAGAGATGTTAAAAGCAAAGATTGGCTTACTGAAAACGCTTGCAATTACAAAATCATGTTTATCCTATATAGAACAAAAAACATTTAGCAGATGATGAAAACGAGATAGCAGACGGTCAAAACCAAGTTAACTGTCCAGAATTAATATTGACTTAATACTGGACGTCTGACCTTTACTCATAATAGTAAAGGAATATTCGTAAGATTCATTACTTGGCTTATGAAGGCTGGAAACTTCGCCCGAAGCCTTGTCTTGTCTAGACAGGAAAACGTGGCATGAAAATATTTCAAGTAAAAGCTTCCAATCGTTGTTCACGTTTTCAACTTTGACGAGTTTCTTTGAACTGTTACATTTTTAGAAACTGTTCAGTACGAATGGCAATGAGCATATTAAAATGTTTACAGGTAAAAACTACTCAACAACTACACATGAATGATGCAACAGAAGACGCAGCGGATCTTTTTGCCAAAAGTTACAACACGCAAGGAAAGCATGTCAAAAATAAGGAAACTTCATTGAGATAAGGAAACACAAACAGAATACAGCTAGCGTAGCAAAAAAGCAAAAATAGAAAAAAGTTTAGCTAAAAAGAAGAAATCATCAATGCGTCAAAACTTGCAGAACATTAAGAGTCTTTCTTCGCATCTTCATTTCGCTGAAAGCACATATATAGCAATTCAAGCAAATAATGAACACCTCCTATCGTACTTGCAGCTTAGTGAATTCGCTCATCAGTCGGTCGTATTCAGCTTTGACGCCATCTGCTTGCTCCTTCATCGCATCTCGATCTTTTTCAGAAATTTC